TTTTTTGTTGTTGACTAGTAATTTTATTCTTGAATAAAATAGTTGTTCCGTTTGGTTTAAAGGTTGGTAATTTGATTGTTCTTCTGATTTGGTTGGTCTTAGTAGTTTTTCTAATAGTTTATCAAAGTCTATTGTATATTCTTCGTCTATGAATTCAATTGGTTCATTTTTCTTCTTTTGGTTCTGTTTTGATATTTATTGCTGTTACAATAAGGTGTATGTAATCAAGTATATAATATAGTATTTTATCAATATTTCAAATAGTCATATTAGGTCTAGGTTGAGTATTATAAGTATAAGTGATCTTTCAGTTATCCACTGTATGGTTGCGTTGTAGTTTATTTTAGGTATGAAGTCTTGAATTGTTATATCTACTTTTAAGTAGTTTTGGATTGTTGTGGTATGTAAGGTTTATCTTGTAATATCAGTAATATTCTATTATACAATAATAGGGTGTATTCTTGTATTACGTAGTTTTTGTATATTTCTTCAATTATAATGTATGTTGTTTTAGTTATTATAAATAGTAAGTTGATAGTAATATATAGTAAAGATAATATAAGTATGTCTAGTTGTAAGAGAATTCTGATTGCTGCTCATTTGATAAGTTGCATTAAGAGGTTATGTTTGTTAAATTTGGTACTTGTTGTACTGTTTCGTAAAGTCTGTCAGCTTCTTTTCATTGTTGTTCAATTATTCGTTCATTTTCTAATATTTTTCTTAATAATTGGTGCAAGTATATATGAGTACTATTAGTATGATTAATATTATAGTTACTATATCTTGAGTTATAATGTTGAAGTTAGTAAAGTAACTTGGTATTATTTGTTGGGTATAATTTGCAATTAAAGTTGTTACTTGGGTATTTGTTATTGTTACATTTTGAATTACAGTTGGTGTTGGTATTTGTATTGTTGAGAATATAACTTGTCTTTCTTCAATAGTTTGGATTGAACTGTTGTTCATGTAGTTTGTTTGTTCTACTTGGTATTAAATTAAAATAGTTGAACTTATGTGATTGGTTAGTTTTTCTAGGTTTTACTAGTATATAAAAGTGTTGGTCATTGAGGTATCTTAAGTTGGGTATTGACCTTGTTGGCAAGTGTATTAGACTTCTATTGTTGAAGTATCTTTGGTTTTTGTTTGGTATTGAGTTTCTGAATCTTTTAAAGGCTTCTTGGTAGTTTGGGTTTAATAGAGGTTGATTAAGTTTTTATCTCGTTGATAAATATTGTGCATTGAGGTATGTTTCTGGGTTTAGTGGTTGGTATGCCTTTCTTGTTTTTTCTTTTTTTAGGTTTAGGAAGTTTAACATCTATTGTAAGGGTAAGATAGGTAGTTGGCCAGTAGTTTTTCTTGAAAGGTTTTTTTTGCAAGTTATAATTATAATGGTGGTTATTCCAATTATAAGTATTGATACAATAACAATTGTGATAGTGAGTACTATAGTATCATTGATAGTTTCTAAGGTGTTTTGCATTTAGAGTATTAAGCAGTTTTGTCTTTCTTGAGCGTAATATGCAGCTTGGGGGTTTTCTTTATAGTTTCTTTTTTGCTTGCGCTGTAGTATACAGCAACATAATAATATAGTTGTTATATTGAGAAGTATGAGTATTAATATAATAAAGAATAGTGTTAGTGATTGTTGGTTGTTGAATAAGTTTGAATCGCAATTATTTTCAAGAGTTGTTCTAGTTGATAATGTTGGTGGTATTGTAGTGATTGTGGTTGACATTGTTGACTATTTGTTAGATTGTTAAGAAGATTCGTTAAATCTTTTTAGATTGTTTCAAACAATCATAAAAATATTGGGCATCTTTTCTTGTTTTCTTTGAAGAATATATTTTAATCGTAATTTTTTTTTGATAATTTTTCTAGTTTTTTATTTCCAAGTTGTAAATGTTACATCTGATGAGTCAGATGCGTAATCTGTGGCTGTTTGTATATGATATTTCTTTCAGGAGTTAGATCTATTTATTCCTGTACCTTGTACTAATGGGCGTTGTATATTTTTCTTTTTTGTTTTTAGTTGGTTTCCAAGATTGTTTAAGTTGCTTTCTAATAGGGGTGCAATTGGTTGTTGAAAGGTATTGTTTGATAATCTTTAAGCAGTTTGTATTCCAACAGGTGATAAGACTAATTGTTGTTTATATTGTTGTTTTTGGCATCTTTGTCGTCTATAACAGATTGTGAGTATTGTTACAATTGCAGTGAGTATTGCTAGTATTGTGCCTAATATTTTTAATAATATAATTAAGGTCTGATTATTATTGTTTGTTGATTCTGCACTTGGCATTGCTACTATTATTTGTAGTGATTGTGTTGGTTTTTCTTTAGCATTTAGTATTTTGCTAAATGGTATTGGTATTGTTGAGGGTAATGTTATACTTGTTAATGTTGGTATTAATATTATTGGTACTATTATGTCAGCATTTGCAAATATATTTTTCTAAGATTTCCTAAGTTGCGTGACTTCTTTTGGACAATAAATTATATAGTACATATTATTAAACTTTTGTCTTTGATATCTATAGCTATGTTTTAGTATTGTTTATAAATGTTGTAAAGGTTGATTTTGAGAGAGTAGTTCTTTTTCTAAAGTAATTATGCAGTGTATTTTTAGATTTGGTCGTAATATGTTATCGAGATCATTATAAATTATAAAGGTTAGTAATGTTAATATAAAATAAATAATTATCTTCATCTCTTTGGATACATTGTAGTAAAATAACTTATTAAGCTTTATTTCATTAAATAATTGCAGTTCGTCCATTAAGGTGATCAATCAATCAGTTCAAACGTAAGTAAAAGGTTAATATCCTCTGTTCGTATATTCTTCCAATTTACTTCTTTGTCATGTAAGTACTTTCAATAGATAATAAGAGTCAAAATATGTTTATAATTTATAAATTATTTTTCATTTATTAAATATGTTTAATATATATATACAGGTTTTGGTAATAATTATTATAAGAATATAGCTAGTTAGATTTTATTTTTCATGGTAATTTTTTACAATTATTTGTTATACGATTATTATTAATTTAATATATCAGTAGGTATTTTATACTCTAATTATATGTATTGGGTTATAGTTATTCAATAACTATTATACGAAGGATAATTTATGAAACAATCAATGTTTCAAGGGTAAATTATAAAATGAAGCTATCTAAGTTTCAAAATTATGAACATACGAAGTTCTAGCTAAGTTAAATTTTGATAATTAAATACTTTTTCAAGTAGTATATGTTTCAAATGTTGAATAATAAAAGTCTAATTCGATTATACTTTTTCTAATCTATTGTGTTAAACTATTATTAAATTAAATAATATGTTGATTCTTTATTAAATTTAGCATTTTTTATAATTTTTCGAAGTTTCCTGAATATTTGGTATAGTGGTATTATGGTTGAATATTTTTCCATTATTTAAGCGGTTATTTGTGTATTTATATGTATCATAATACACTTTTTTTCTTCTATTTATTTACAATTGTCATTATTTATCATAATTTCGGATAGATCATTGGTAAGATCATTAGTTTAATTTTTTTTTTTTCTGGTTTGATAATCATCAGCAGATTTCTCAAATTGCCTGTATATGCTGTTGTGTTTCTGAGCCGTATATAGCATATTTTAATTAGACTGTAAATAGACTATAGCTTATTCATAGATATATATATAGAATGATATGTATTTTAGTTAGTTAGTTAGAGTTTTTAGTTTTTCTGGGAGTTTTTTTTGAGTTGGTTAGTAATTTGAGTAGAAGGTTAGTAAGTTTGAAACTTGCTAAGTAGTAGAGTAAATAAAGATATTAGTGTTGACAGTGTCTGGGATACTATAAAGAAATATTAGTTGTTACTTTCTAGTGCCTTTGTGTATTAATAAAATATTCAGTTTATCTCTTGTTAATGATTACGACCCTTTGCTAAATTGGCCAAATGGATACAAGTCTCTCCCTTGGTCGTAACATTTATAGTGCCGATTGTGTAGATGAACAAAAACTAATAAGAAATAAAAGTCAATTAGTATAGAAAATTTTTAACAATAAACAAAAAGAAAATTGGAATGAAGATTGTTTGGTGTTAAAATTTTAATATTAATTAATTTGAACAAAAGCCAGATCAGCTTGTGTTAAAGAAAATCTGAGAAGAAACATAACTCGAATCAGCGCTGTGTTGAAATTAAAAATAGTAATAGAAATTTAGATAAGTGAACAAAAACTGGATCCGTATTGTGTTGTTTTGATTAGCTAATTAGTTTGACTAGATCCTGAATTACGTAACCTGCACCCTGATCATCGCATTAATAAAAATAGATGATCATAATAATTTTTATATTTACCATCCCTTTGATATTAGATGTGCCTAGCCTTGGCATTGTATTTATAATTCCTAATCTAAACCTTAGCAACAAAGGCGTTCTTACCGGTTTTTCAAAATTTGGATCTAACTACCCAACTAGACAAGCAGATGCTCTGGTAAAGAATTAATTCGGTTAAACTGAGTTAAAATCTTCATGTTCTATATTAACTACCTGACTAGATGAGCGGGTGCTCTGGTATAGATATAAATCCAGTATTTAATATTAATCATCTGACTAGATGAGTGGGTGCTCTGGCAAAGATATAAATCTGAGGATTTAATTTAAGGCTACATCTTTGTACAGAAAACTGATTTTTTTGCTGCTGAGATCTTTAGGATCGAGTTTCTTTCAGAATAAACTCTAGAAACCAGTGGTAGATACAACAATCAAGCGCTAAATAACAAAATACTTTCCAACAACTTTACATATAAACTATCGTGTAATAAACAACACTCCTGCAAATGTAATAAAACCAGAACAAGAAAACTTACTAACAGACTGGCCTGCTACACAGACTCAGGCACAGCACCATCCAAACAAGTATCTATAATATTATGGATGAATGAAAAATATATTACACATAAACACCAAGAAACTGCTCAAGAAATATTCGCAAAATTCTTATTCGACTTCAAATATGTAAATGAAGGAGAATTTCTAGACCTAAAACAAGAATATTATAAACTCTGAGAAGAAGCAAATAATAGAACAACATGGATACAAGGCAGAGCATTCCAAACCTACAAAATACTACCAAATGGAAGACACCCTGCAGAAGATTACAGAGCTGCAATACAATTATTAGGAAGACCAACCTCTTACGAAGACTTCTTTAAACTAGAACAAGTATACGATTCTTACAAAAAGGACAAGTAGGACAAGCATTCTAAAAACAATTTGGAGACAAGAAAAAAGAAAACTTCTCAAATGAAAAAGGATACAAATATAACAAATACAAACCAAGAAAAGAAATAAACTTCTTAGCAAAACAAGAATATTATATAGTAAAGAAAAATGACCTCAAAT